ATCATGTTTTAACAACCAAATACATTTATTGTGCTTTTCGACTTGAACAGTTTGCATTTTGGGGTCAAAAACGATACTGAAAAATCCCTTTTCTTTTGCCTCTTCAGCTGTTATATTACCAACAATATGGAGGTACCTGCAGACTTTAGAGGCAGCCCCTTACTTCCTGGGTTTGGCGCTGTCGGCATTCAGCCTGAGCGGGCTTCTGTCAGGACCACTGTTTGGATACTGGTCCGACAGGACACGGACAACAAAGAAAATAATTTTGCTTTCTAACCTTTTTGAGATAATTGGTAAGTCATCAGTTGCATATGTTTACTCCCTTCCTATTCCTAGAAATTTAATTGTTTTTATTTGCCTCTAACCCTTCTGTAAAAATTAGCAAATGTATTGATTCTGATGGGGGATGCTGTAACTGTATTTCATTTTTATGCCTTTTACAGGTAATTTTATGTACTTCATGGGCTACTCCAAGTGGCTTTTACTGTCAAGTAGGCTGGTAGCAGGTAAGTCTTCCTGCACAATAAAGGCTTATTAAAACATTTTCAGGGCTATAAAATCCTCTATTTGCCTGATTGTTTTAATTGCTTTACCATCATGTGTAGTGGTTTAAAAACATTTCCCCCTCTTACAGATTTTCTCTTTTTTTGCTACACATTAATCTTGTATATCTTGAAACATATTTAACAACAAAACGGTGATAACAAAAGCAACTAAAACATGTATTTTCACATGATGATTAGATTTTCTTTGGAAACAGAGTTAGCAAAACTAACGTGGCTCTTTTTGAAACAAGGTATACAAGTACTTGTAGAGAAAGAAAACAACTAAATGGAAATTTTCTGGCAGCTTGAAGTAGACTAAAAGACTTTTGATGTAAAAAAACCTACACAGTTTTTTTTAGGAAAAAACATGACCATGACAGGAATAACGGGTGGTGGTGTGATGGTCTGGACCATTTTCATTGGATCAAGAATAGAATGGCTTGCCATCATTGATGGGGTCATGAATTATCTAAGTGTGTAAACTTGTGCTTAAATGCAGCTTAGGTTATGCATTAAGATGATTTTTAAAGGCCCAACAGAAAATCAAGTTCTGAATTGCTGAAAAAACCCCCAACACTTTTAAGATTTTAAACTGGCTCTGTCGATCTAAATCCAACTGTAAGGTTATAAGAGATTCCATAATATATGCCATATATGCTTGGTGATCATATGTGCCTGCATCCCAAAATGTTTCAACCAAGGTATTTATAATGGTGGCTTTCTACAAATACTAGATTACTCTAACCAAAGATTTGCATTTAAATAGAGTTTTTTTTTATTTTATTTTTTTGCTTATTATTTTCCATTTCTTTGCTATTCAACTCTATACAATATCTATATTTTAAGCCTCAATTCAAACAAAAACCGTTCGTTGTAATGTCATAGTAACATAAATAGTATGATTCTGTGATTCTTTCTTGATGAAAAACTGGAATGTTCATAATGTGTGCTGTTCTCCTCAGATCATTGCATAAGTTTATTTTTCTTCTAAATCCAATTAAGACCAGAATTTCTGCGTTATATTTTTCAGGCATCGGTACAGGAGCAGGCTCATCAATCTTTAGCTTCTTGACCAGGAGCACCGCTTCAGAAGACCGGGCCACGGTATTCGCTGCTGTCATGGCTTGTCGACAGGCTGGCCTTCTGATTGGTTTGTTCTTCTCTACTCTTTTATTTATTTATTTTTACTGGATTATCTTTTAATAATTTTTCCCCTTGGATGAAAAAATAAAGTTTAAATAAAAGCAAGAAAATTTTTTGAACTGTTTCCATTTAACCAGAATCTGTTAATAAAGTGAAACATTTACATTTGTGTTCTTTTTAGGCCCTGCTTTCAACATCTTTCTGAGACTCTGTGACTTTCACCTTGGTCCATTTGTTGTCAACAAATACACTGCACCAGGGGTAAGGATAAATAAAGATAAAATGTAAACTAATTGTTTTTCTTGATACCCGGCCAAGAATGATCATTTCTCTTTTCTGCTCCTTCCAGCTGTTTATGTTTCTGTTGTGGATTCTCCTTCAACTGGCAGTGGTCTTCATGTACTGGGACTTGCCACCAACGGAGAAGAAAAAGGTCTACATTAAACATAATGGGGAGGAGTATGTGCATGGGTTTGGTGAAGAGGAAGATGAGGTCGAGGAGGAGGTAAAGCCGTTAATGACATCCCAGGAGCTTGTGGGCTCCTACGGCTCTGTGATGACATCCAGCCTGTGCAAAAACCACAGATCGGCCGCCTCCAACAACTCTCTCAATCAAATCCATTCTCCACTTGAATCTCCTGCGGCAGCGCACCGACGCCTCCGAAATTCCAGCTCATGCCAAGGTAACTGGTAGAAGTAATTGTTGGCTAATTTACTGAATGAGTGAATTAATTTTTTTTTATCTAAAGTATCAAAACAAGTTGTTTGTTTGATTTCTAACTATAAACCATAGTTACTGATTGCTTATGGTATAAGATATAGAGATGTGTATTTTAAAGCTGGTCTTACCCACCTGTCTATGTAATGATATTTGCATTAACATTTTGAGAAATTGTTATTAATGTTGACTGATTTTGTATTTGGGTCATCATCATCTGTCTTTACTTTTCTGTTTTTGTGTCAGAGTTCCTGAGAGAAGAAGTGGTCGTGCTGCTCGCTGCTCAGTTCATCACTCTTTTCAATCAGACAGCATTGGAGGTGCACCAAACACTTCACACATTTACAAATATGACATGACTTTAATAGCAAAACAACATTCGTTTTATGTAGAAACACAAGATAAATAAATCAAAACTGACCTCAATAGAAGTTCCTCAAAACAAATTACAGATAGTGTTTACCCAATTTAATTTAAATAAGTTAGATTATCAAATAGAAATTATGTCCTGTATTCTAAGGCTCTGTTACACAAAAAATGTAGTATTACTTTATGTTTTCTGTATTGGTCAAAGGTTATGGCTCTAAATTCGTAGATTTGATTTAAGCTAGTTTGCCAGTGTACAGTACATGCACTCATTACTTGATCTGGGGTCCTTCTGCATGAGTTACTTCGCTGATAAAGTTCCACTCAGAGACTATACTGACATTGTTCATTATTAGCCACACTGCACTGCAAAAAAATTTAAATCTCAGTAAGTAATTTTTCCTTAAAATAAGTGCATTTTTTCTTGAATTGAGGAGGTAAGTGAGACACTTTGCTATTGCGATAAGACAATTTACATTTAAAATTGACATTCATTGTCAGATTTCAAATGTATATTATCTAATTATTTTATTTTAAGATAAAAAAAAAGAAATTTCATTGGCAAATAATTGTATTTACCTACTTAAATTAAGGCTAAATATACTTAATTTAAGGAATTTAAAGTTATTTCTACATCCTTTTTGCAGTATGAACCAACATCAGCTAAAAACTTCACTCGCCAAATTGTCACTATGGAAACCTTACGCTGGCTTTGCTTACACATTAACCAGCTTTGAGTTTATGTTTTTTTTTTTTCACTTTTATGATCTTGGGACATTCATATCCAAATAAATCACAAAATTGACATTTATCTTACGTGGTATTGAGACGACCTCTTAACAATACTGAAGTGGCCAAGAGAAAGAAACTTTCTGGATCCATTTATGTTTAGTTGCTCTTGAAGCACGAACTACAGCTTCAGTTCAGACATTGTAGATCTGTGAACCCTGTGATGAGTTTTTAGGTTTTCTGTTATTGCTGATGTTTCGCAACACTAAACTGTCCATTAAGATGTATGGATATAACACTGTTAGTGGCCAGGGGTCTTGTGTTGTGTACGCACACAATGGGGCTTGTAATTTGTAAACAACAGTTTTCACTAGAGATGCCACCATCCATTTTTTCCCTGATCCAATCCGATACATGGGCTGAGGTACCAATCCAATATTACTGTTCAATAAATGAACCTTATACCTTGTAATATGAGTAAAAGCATTGAGCTTGACATAAATGTTGTTAAAAAAAGGGAACAGATTAACACAGATATAAATCATCACTAACTGCTGTGTGTGCTCTGTGAGATGACGTCATCAGCATTGCAATCAAAAGATTGAAGTCATTAGATCGCTGTAGCTGCATAGCTGTGTAAGATCTAAAAAATACATATAGAAATGAATGAATTGGAATGTTAGAATGGCATTATTCATCCGATATTCGATCCAGCCAGTTGATCAATATTGGAGCCGATATCCCATCTGAGTATCGATTGGTGCTTCTCTACTTTCCACATGAAGGTTGTAATCTATAAAAACATGGAAGTTGCGGCCCCTCATGCCAGCTCTGACAAATTGGAGCAAAGTGGAAAATAGTGACACAGACAGTGTGTATGGAAATTAAAGCCAGATTAAGCCTTCTAGGCCTTTTAATTCTACTTTATACACAATATAAATCATAGATTGATGTCATTATAAGCATCCAGCATTGCTGTGTAATTTCTTTTCCCTGTGAAATAAATAAGAAAGTCTTATGAGCAGTTCGCATCCTTAATTAAACTGCGCAAAATCCTTTTTGAATTATTTCTCACCATCACATCTCTCTTCCTGATGATCAATGCGGGGAGTTGTACCACAGATCAAGAAATAAAACTAACAAGGTGTGAGGCATTCATACTGATTGCTGTAAACTTTTAAAAACTGTTGTGAACTCATGTGCAGGTATGTACGCTGATTACTGGAGGACTTTGAAAAATCGGAAACCATTTTCAGATGATTACAGGCCAATGAGCTGATTAGACTCCCCTGATCATTGCTCTGGGATCTATGTGCTGAGATGGACCCACTCCATTCCTGTTAATGGATAAAAGGAGGTCAGGGAAGTCCAGTGTATAAAATAATATAGCTAGGTGCATTGCTCTAAAAAAACAGACTTAAATATGGACACTCAGGGTTCCATGGTATATGTAAGACTTGATATATAATTAAATATAATAGATATATTTGAATTATTGATTTTATTATGGATGAAAAATAGATGAGGCTTCATGAAGCCGAAGATCCAAAATCATCCATCTAGGCCCATCTATGAAGAAAAAAGGAAACCTCTAAATTTAATAAGATCATTAAACTGATAATTATTTTGCCCATATTAAAAATAAAGAAAGCAAGGTAGTCAGCTTACCCAAATGATTATTATTTTTAATAACTACAACTGTTAATCACTCTGGGTTTTGTAGCAAAAATCAATAGGTACCTCTGTCTGTAGCCACTTTTAAGAACACAATAATACTGTTAAAAATATCACAAAATCTTAGATATTATTGGCAGAAAAAAAACCTATAATACTGTCTCACTGCCATCCTCTGTCTTTGACGACATCATTGAAGGGACATAGTCACATTTTTCTATATATAATAAAAAACAAATCATATGATCATAATAAAATAAGGTTATATTTACAAAGTGTCTGTTCTAATAGTGTTTTGGTTGTTCTTTTGGAGCTTAAATAGAATTCTACCACCATGCACATTTAGTACACATAAGAAGAAATGTGCGCCACCTGCTGGCAGTAGCCCAGAACTATCAGAAAGGTAGAAGCCAACAATGGGCTCTATGCACAGCTCCACTACTTCCTGAATTTAATGTAGCTCCTTTGTTTCCTGTCTTTCATGATTGGATGCACTGATTAATCCAGGTGTGTATGACCTAAGTAACTGGCCAGACACACCTGGATTAATCAGTTCGTCCAGTAATATAAGACAGGAAACAAAGGAGCTGCCTTAAATTCAGGAAGTAGTGGAGCTGTGCATAGAGCCCATTGGCACACCTAAACAGTAGACCCTGATTTTATACCCTACAGTAAACAGCTTGATGTAGTGGAAGACCAACCCATATTAATGAAATAAAAAGTTTAGAGCAATTCTAAATTCTAGTGAATCCTTTCAGAATATAAAGGAAAAACACAATTCCTATTCCTGCTAAGTTGGAATTTTTTTTTCAATGAACTAAAACAAGTCATAGGCTGAAACCTTTACGTTGCAATGGAAGCAAATTAGATGCATTAAATTTTTTCCCTCAGGGAAACAGCATTGGTAATGAGCCCTGAATTGAATCTGATCTAGGCTTCTGGATTTTAGCTGTTACAGAAAACTGCCATCACACTGTTTATTTCTATTAACCAGTCAATCTATTTATTTATGATGTCGTTGCGCTTAGACTGTAAAGATTAAGTACAGCACTACTCACAGTATCAGTCTGAATTCCTCCACAGCTTCAGGTTCTGGTTCACTTAACACCATCTTTCTTTATTCCAAGCACTATTTAAGTCTTATCCCTCTTGGATAAAAATATTTTTTTTCACTTTTTCACCCTTGTTCTTGATTTTTTTCTTTATTTTAATAACTTTGCTGTGTCCCTTTAATATGATAATTCTATACATCAGACTCTGAACATGTAGTCATTCATATGCTGGTGAAGATTCTTAGTTATCCAGGTCATAGTCATTCCAAAAAATATTAAAAACAAACCCCTGGACTTGATTTCAAAGTTTGAAGATGTCTCGCTTCCCATCCAGGAAGCTTTTTCAAATCAAATGTCAGGAATAGCGTTGAGTTCGAGGTTTTATACAGTAGCCCAACAAGGCCTTTTTTTTTTTTCTCTTTTTGAAAACGTGCAAATTGGAACAGATGAAGGCGTCCACCTTTTTGGAATGGGGGTCGTTTGGCTTCTTTTGTTAAATTGCAATACAATGTCATTCATAATGCTTCCTTTTGTCTGCCACCCCACTACTGTCTTTACCTAGCCATTTTATCTGGCTGTCCACCTCACTCCCTAACACCACTATTTCTGCACTTTTTTCGGCTCTCTTGCCTGTGGTCGCCTTAGATTGGTATTAATTCACTTACATTAGCTGGCTTATTTAAATACACAATGACATTTATAAAATGGGCACCACTCCCAATAACATGAGGTGGAGCCTTATGCACACTAGTGGGATTTATCAACGAAATTTGCGTGTTGATTTGATAAATGTACATTTTTTTTTTTTTTTTTTTTTTTGGCTCACCCTTATCTCTGAATATTATTGTTTTAGTTTTTAATTTTCTATAGTTGAGATTAATCAGCATTCAATATTTGGTTGAAGTTTATTGCTGTGTGTATAGTAGTTTTATTTTTTCCTGAGTTTGAAATGAATTGCTGAATAAATAAAAATATTCCTTTAATTGTATCCTAATTCTTATAGATGTGCTTGCACAATATTAAATATATATGACATTGCTAAATAAGAGAAATCTTTAAACCTGTAACTGTAATAAAAAAATAAAAAAAAAGATCAGTAATCAAACCAAAATATCTTTCCGGTAATACATTGCTCAAACTTTTTAATTTAGAAGAATTTATGACTTTATTTGCCTAAAGCTTTTTTTCTGTTTTACATTTTTATTTCTCCAGACTATGGTGACGCCCCTTACTCAAAAATATTTCAACTTTAAAGAGCTGGAAAACAGTGTGATGTACTGCCTCGGTGGTGTGGTGGTGATTGCCGGCTTCCTGTTTGTGCGCTGGCTGAGCCGGCATGTTGCAGAGCGGGTGGTCCTCGCCATTGGTCTGGTTATCTGCAACATCTCTTGTATCTGGTGCCTCATCTTTCTTGCTAACCCTTTAGGTCAGTCTAAACCAGCAACAATTGTACATAAACTGACTAATAGTGGCTAAACAAGCATAAAATCCAGTAAAATATAAGGATCAAGAGAAATTCTATGACCAATTCTAACCTTCCTGTATTTATTGTGTTTTTTTTGTAGGTGGTTTTTCATGGCAGCTGACTGAGTTCATCATTGGGGTTTTTCTTCAGGTTTTAGGCTTACCTTTTGTAGCAGTGGCCCAGGTTTCCCTCTTTTCCAAAGTTACTTCAGAGAAAACTCAGGGTGAGACACAGCACCATCTAGTGGATACTAGTGGAACATATCCGATGCATTTGTTTTTATTTTCCTTGTGCTACATACATATGTGATCAAACAAAAGAAGCTTAACCATGTCAGTTAGTAAAATAAATAAATAAATGTCATATATATGTGTGTTTGTCATTCACTGCCCTTTCAGGTTTCAGCCAGGGAGTACGCCGCTCAGTAGGGGGTCTAGCCACCATCCTTGGTCCTCTCTGGGCAGGCGGTCTGACTGACAACATGTATATAATGATGGGAGCAATGGTGGCACTGTTGATCTTACTTACGGTAATACATATATTTTTAACCTAATTGTAAGAGTTAAAAAGACAATGTTGAATTAATTTTGCTTTTACATTGCAAACATAAAGTATTACTTTTATAAATACATTTGAATTGATCACAGTCTAAAAACACTCAGTGGCGATGCACCGTTTGGAAAACGGCATGTTGCATCACCATCCTTAATTACAGTAGCTGAAAGCAGACAAACCTGTTAGCCCTGTGCGTTTTACTTATATATGAAGACATGTTGTTGGTTGTGGAGAATTAAGCAGACGATCAGAGATCCTTTTATGTTTTCTGTTAAAATGGTGGCCCATCCATACTTTCTTCCAATGAGAGGGCAGATAAAGTTACCAGGAAAAGTAAAAAAGTATCCAGGTATATTAGAAACAGGGCAGTTTAGTCCGGAGTCCATCATTTTCTCTTTCCTCCCGGCTGTTTACTGAACTAGCTCTATTGCAACAGTTATCAGTTGATGTTATTCTTTCGAGAAGTCATACACAGGCAACCACAGCTATAAGCAGTAGCTTGTTATCAAATAAATGAAAGACATACTTGTAACCTATTGTATTGTTGCATGGCTCGTCGCTTGGACAGGACTGGACAGGAACTTGTGCAGGATCTTGGCATTTTCACATCATGACACTCCTGCACTTCTATACTAGTTGTTCTATATTCAGACTGCATGCAACGGAAGCAGCAAAAGCAGCTGGTTTACTTGCAAAGTCGATGGTTGACACCCATCAAGGCGCAGCGGAAGGTCCTCCAGTTCGATTCGAGCAGTAAAATATATTTGCTTTTATTATTCTGATGCGTACAGTATGGATTATGTACATGAAAACCGCTAACATCTCCTTCCAGCCACCATGAACAGTAGTGGAAAACCCCCAAGAGGCGACCGGGCCAGAGGCAGCTGTTGCTGGGGATTTCCAGTTATAGCGCACTGGTGAACTCGGTGAACAGGGATTTTGTGCTGATCCCACAATAATATTTGAATAACATTTGAATGCAGGATTGTAAATCTTGAGGAACTGACTGCACAGCTGAAGTTTTGAGGTGGACTATCTCACTTAAAAACATACTTTTTACCCATTTATAATAGTAAATATAGCAAAGCTGCTCTTTGCCATTGAACACAGGAGCAGCAGAATCATCAGAAACATCTGTACACACTTTACAGATGAGTGTGTACACATCTGAGATGTCCTTTAGATGGCTATAGGACATCTCCCTGTAGTCCTCATGTAGCGGCGCCCAGCAGCTCCTCTCAGGCAGGACCAATATGGCGCCAGTCAGCAGCTTCTAATGGCTCCTTGGCAAACAGTAATTGGGCCCTGCTGTTGCTCCTTCAGTGATTAGATTTAGGTTACCAGAGCTGGATTAGCTCTATCCCTGCTGCAGCAGACGGTTTCAGTAAACACTGCATTCAACTACGTTTGAATTGCAGGAAAAACACCAGCTACTATGATCATCTCCTGCCGATTCATAGGAAAAGGACGGGCACTACGATTGGCTTTTTCTGAAATCTAGGAAAGGTAGTCTGACTTAGTCCAGCAAACATGGACCTCTCCGGAGGGATTTGGTCACTACTTAGCATGGCTTTTAGCAGAGAAATGCTTAGTCTAGCCTTTAGCAGCTGCGGGCCACCAGCAACAGGAAGCTGAACGGAAAGTGGTTTGTTTTAAAAACTCCATCAGAGGGGTGTATCTTCAGAGGGGAGTAGTTCCGGTTACATCATCAACATTTGATCTCAACACAAGCATGTTGACGTAAAGGCGATATGACCATCTCCTAGCAACTTATTGTTCCTGTGACTACAGTTGAACATATTATTCGGAACTGTAAGATTTATGGTACTGTAGCCAACCTCTGTTGACATGACTGCAGGAGGAAAACTGATGGGAAATCAAAGAGATGAATAATAAGAATGGTAACAACAGATCCCAGAAAAACTTTTAAAGATATTAAAAGTGAATTTCAGCTTAAGAAACATCAGTGTCAGATCGCACTGATCCATTTTTGTGTGTATTGGGCAGCAGTCCACAGCCTTGGTAAACTGGTCTATGGAGACTTACACTAGTTCTAAGGATGTAAAATATGACCTTGCCTGGGGGAAAGGAGTCTGAACGTATGAGGAATGTTGAGCGATTTTGGCTAGAAATAGTGAGACTCACCACACACAGCCTAGGCTCTTGAATCCAACTCCTTGAGAGAGACTGGAATCTCTTCTACTCGGGATTGTCCTGCGAGTAGGGGTGGAGGGCCGGGGTGGGTTTCCGGTCCTATTGAGAACAAGAATCTCAATAGGATCGCTTCTCTTCCACATTGAGGTACATCTGTTTCGGACCTTTGGACGCTTCCCTGGGCGTTGTTAAAAGGAAAACACATTTTTTTTTACATTTGGCCCTTGATTTGAAGTTATAACATCATGTTCTACTCACTTATATGAGTTTTTTTGTAATTTGGAGCTGTTCTGAAGATATTCCGTTAGGTTATATCCAAGTAACGTCTTCCTATGGGCAACGAGTTGAAGACACAAACTAAACTGTTCATAATTTTTCATTTATGAAATGGTCATGCCAATCATGGTATGCCAGCATTTATACCATGTAGGCGAATCATTGTGTGCCATACATTCCGTGGTTATATTTTTTATATTTATATATTTTTAAAACGAAGCAGCGTGTCTATGACATCATCCGCGTTGCATGCTCCACTGGGAGGAGGCCAAAGACACCATCCACCACATGTTGGAGGGAATGTATCTTGGCTGCCCCTGTAATCCCTCAAGCTTTCCCCAGTGGAGCTGGACTAGGTGTCTGGGGAGTGGAAAGTCTGGGCATCTGCTAATACTGCTGTCCCTGTAATCTGGTCCCAGATAAAGTGGATAACTATGAGTACAAGATAGAAAACAAAGCAGTTTAGAGACAGAAGCTGAAATCTATCATTTATTCATTTTGCAAAGGCAAGCTCTTTTACCAAAACCAAAGTGATTATACCTATTTTTAATAGAAAAACTGACAGACAGAAAAATATGTTTATGCATTACTGTAAAATTCATACCCATGACCAGTTATCATAAACTTGCACACAGACATGTATGCGTGTATATTTTGTGTGTGGTGTGCATACCAAAAAGAAGGCTACTGCATGTTCTGCATCTATTACAGAACTGTGTTAAAGGAGAGAAATGTAACTTCCTTACTTTTTCTGAATTGGCAAAGTAAACAGTTATTTTCATTTATCTACTTATTCATTATGCAAACCCTGTATTTGCATCTTCCACAGATAATGTTGGCGTTCTCGTACAACCGGCTGGTGGAGCCTGCTGTGGAGCACATGGAGAGTTCACACATCTGTGCCTAAAAACTGCAGCAGCAGTTGTAAGGTAAACTAACCTTTTTTTTTCTTTGACCAATTTCTGCAAAAGGCAAGACAAATTTTGGGAATTTGAGAAAACAGCAGATGGTTTATTTTCCAGAGACAAATTATTAAAAGAATTTTAAAGCACTGCCTGCGACGCCAGCTGACTGACTGAATGAATTAATTGCAATTTAATTTTCCGCAGCACTAACCACAAGTAAACATGTATGGCTCCAGGGTTTCCATGTCTTCATGGCCTTAAATGCCCACCTGTCCACGGTCTATGTTTCCTGCTGCATCTAGCTTGCTTACATAGATTTCTGTTCAAGCTCCAACTCTCTCTTCTTTAATCGTATTTCCACTACCTAAAGGAATAGAGTCAAAAAAGTGTCTTATTCTCATTAAATGTTACAGCAAGCCCTATAATTGCATGCCTTTGGAATTTGGAAATTACATTTTAAAAGTGTGATTATATTGCAAATGCAATTAACTGTCCAGCCCTATTTCTAAAATAAAATAAAAAAAGATCGGTAGTTTCTGGTTTTGTATTTTATATCTTTTCATTACTTGTTCTGTATTCTGTAGCAAGTTAATGTAAATAAATATGGAATAAGTTAATAAAATGCATTTGTTTTATTGAAGAAATTACAATTTCATTGTTTTAACCTTTAAAAAACCTGGGAAATATATACTTGTTACTTGAGTAGAGTTCTGAGTGGCAATGTGTCTTTTACAGATGTCTGATTTTCTTTTCTTTTTTTTCTCATACTAGAATATGGCGTTTCTTCTCCTGCATCTTTAGTGTGAGTTGGGACCGATTCAGAAGGTGACAACATCCCTCTAAAAAAACTGGATTTCGGTGGTTGTCCGTTTGAAGAGGTTTTGATCAGTGGCTGTCTGATAAAGAGCTCACAGCATGTTTCCCATGGAAATATAAAACTATGCTGACAATGCATGTTATTCTTTTTCATGAAATTTGCTTCACTCAAAGGTACTCATCTATTCCTCTGCTCCACCCTGCACCCTTTTCAGTAAGTTAGATGTAATATGCACTATTTAATAAATATCCATAGCTGTAAACTGACAGATTTCATTTTTTAATTAGCTTAAATTTAATGACCAATTCTAAGCTAATTTTTAAATCCATAAGTAGGATCTTAACAATAATAATTTCTGAGATATAAGCTAAATTATGTGATTTTTTTCTTTCTTTTTTTTTTTAGTTAATTTCTCTGAATTTAATATATAAATGTTCGACTATATTGTTTTTGGATCAGTATTTAATCAATTTTGGAATCATTGTCCAAAAGTAAGTATTTTCCAAGAAACCACTGACTTGCACAAAGTTATATAAGGGTTAAAATATTGTGGGGAACTTGATAGAAATGTACTAAAATATTTTAAAAATTTGTTACTGGATCACTTTTCACTGCTTTTACTTTCTTTTCTCTCATGACTATAAATATAAAAGTGGGGATTGAGATAGTAGGAAATTAAAGTTGGATAACCAGCTTCTACAAATAGGAAAACATTTAGTTCATAATTATTTTTCCCAAGTCGTTGAGCTGCACTAAACTTGCTTTTTTTAAATGAGGAATTCTGGTTAAAATTGCACACTAACCTTCATAAACACAAGCACGCTCATTTAAAAAAAATCAAAGCAACTCTTTTCAAGTGATGTCTTCGTGCAAAAACTTCCAGGATTCCGTTTTTTTTTTTTTTTTATGTTGAAAGAAATGAAACCTGGAATGATCTAATTATCAACATTAAAGAGAAACTAAGAAAACAGATAGGCCTAATGTTGCATCAGGTCGGCATTACTTCAGTATTCCAAAATAGAAAACAATGATAAACACACATAATTAATTAAAACATTGATTGATAAGTTCCCTTATCAATCACATAGAAAATAACTTGATTAAATGGCTTTAAATTATGTCCATTTCAAATGTGATGTTTATTAACAGTTTTCCATTGAGATGAAAAATTACTAAGATAATTACTATTGTGTGCAATATGTATCACCATAGATATTTTAAAAAAGGAGGAAGACAAAATGGAAAGATTTGTTTGATTGTGCAATTTGAGTTATTTACTACAGATATGGAAACCTAGATGGGCATACGCTATGTTATTGTTTTATTTAGACATCGTTGAAAATGTATTACTTTGTGTCTCTAATAGTGCATCTCTGTTACTGTTATTTTTCCTTGGTTAGAATGTTCTGAATTAAAGTTTCTTACCATGTTAACTATACGTTTCTTTCACCATCTGCTTGATGTAATGATTTCTTTTTCAACACAAGTGGGCGCTCTAACTCTTTACTTTATTATCCTCATTAATATTAGACCCAGCTTGCCAGCAGGCCACAGACTGGGAAATGTTCCTTCATAATTACTCATGTGTAGAACATGAGCTTCACTGACACATCTGTGACACAAAGAAAATCTAATAGTTCCAGAGGCAGTACGAAAGATGACAAGAAATCAAGTGATTACATTAGATTTTATATTGATGAGAAATAAGATAAAATAATACACGTTTGTGGCATAAGATTTTTCTTATTTCGTACAGTCTAATTTGCAGATCTGTTGTTAACATTTGGTATCTTTTGTGTTTGATTTCCTGTCAAAAGATGGATAAAAATGAACATCTATTATACTGACTTGTTTTAATATTCACTCAAGATCTATTGTACTTTCTCATCCCAAATAAGGTCTGTTTCCTGTTAAGATCCCTTTTTTTTACTATAGATTGTATCATAGATTTTTTTTTAATTCATAAATTTGCTTTAATTTTCTATACATTTTTTTTTTATAGATGGGTAATTACATTAAGAAAAATACATTTCCTCTTAAAAATTACAGTTTTATTTTTCGGTGTCTAAAAAGGCACTACTTTTAAAACAAAACAAACATTACAGAATCCTTTAATATATTACATTATAACGCATTTTTTAGGAACTTACTGTTTAGCACTGTTTTAGAACTGGATCAAAAGTGTTCATTATATAAATTGCTTAAAAATGACGGAAAAAAAAAAGGAATTTGGCTCAGGTAGCCCAGTTTGCCTTGCATCTTGTACATTTCTTTTTTTCATCAAATCCGATTTTGGAAGTTGAATAGTAATGATTATAATACATGGCAATTACCAATTTAATAGATTTTAATAAATTACATTTAATGATTTATGTATTTATTTATTTTTAACCAAAATAGAATAGATTAAATAAAATAATGAAAAATATGAATATTTAGGCCAAAGCTGGTGGGATTTTTGTGATGATATTTCTTCTACTTACAGTATTTCACTTTTTAAAATTGTATTGTATGTTATTGTGTGAAAATAATTTCAATACTACCATGGAAATCTAATTTCTTATAATTTTTGATTGTAGCAGAAATTATTTTTAGTTTTCTGTGCATATTTATTTTTCCAAGATATATAATCATTATATTGTTTAAATAATTAATTATGATATAAAACGGCATAAGGATACAAATGTTATGTTATTTATATTACTATTAATAGTTTCCAGTGTATTATTAGTAATAATTTCTGTTATATAACGTACGATGTGTACTGGGCAATAAAACAATTTCTTTAGAGGTTACATACGGTGGTTAAATGTTGGGGTGAAAAATATGCAAAATGTTAAATATTAATAATTAAAAAAAAGGTTTATAGTTAAAGGAATGCATTTCGGTTAAGTGTGACGGACTAAAAGCTAAATGTTTCTAAGAGAACGCAGAAGCTTCAGATAAGACGCGTATAGACTCATCAGGGGTCGCTATAACGTTACTAACAGAAAACTGGACAAAAGTGTGTCATGCTTATGATAAAACATCATGTCCCTAGTGACGTGATGAGGAAGGGGCGTGGCTTATCACTGTGAACTCTGGTTGAACCTGTTTCCATGTTGGGCGGGGCAGGTTCAGAGATGTTACGACACAAGGCCAGTAACAGAGATATTTTAGGATTTCCCAGTTTTTTTAAACTTAACCGAGTCCCTGTGCCAGTCTCACACAGAGTTCCACAACACAGTTGGCCTGGAGCGACACTGTGACCAAAGAGTGACCCCGAATATAGGGGTCGAAAGTGCAGAACACGTCATCTGTCATAACAGTTTTCCTGGGTAAATTTGGTGAACTGGCTCCTCCTCTCTCTCCAGTCACAATCCAATAGCACCAAATCCCACTATGATAATCGACGGCTGAACTTTTGGTGAACTCTGTTTTACCTCGACTAGACGGGACAGTGAGGACAGGCTGAGTTTAGGGGCAATTCAGTGTTTTTTGTTGCGAGTTCTGTTTTTTTAATTTTTTATATCCCCAGGCTTGAACACTGATTGACCTCTCAAAAAGTAGGTTGGTGTCGTCTGGATTGGGTGCCAGGAACATTGCAGCTTACAATGTACAAGCGCTTTCACAGTTTAAACAAAGCTGAAAAGCTGTAAAGGCCAAAAAAACATTGTCGGCATAAATAAAAACTCTGAAATAAAATAAATATTCAAATAAATGTTAAAAAATATTAACAGCAGGGTAAATGCAAGTATGTGTTTCTAAGCTGAATGTCTGCTGGGGAAAACTAAATTACATGAGATTGAATATGGTCACTTAAAAATTACACACATCTATTGTCTGTCTGTCGATCTCTCTATATATGTATATGTCCATTGCTTATAGAAATATATATATATATATATATATATATAGCTACTCTCCAATAATACTAGAACAGTACAGTCTAGATTTTGGCAGTGTAATAAACATATAACAGGCATACAGAATAAATTCCAGTGTTTTACTTAAGTTCAATTATTTTTCACAATTAGTACAACTCTTTAGATTAAACAAATCCATTGATTGAATAAGGGAGAGAAATCATCAGATCCCCTTTTAAAGGTATAGTGGAGGATGTTCTTTTTCCAGGGGGATCATCAAAATAAGTGGCCCTCCTAAGTGTCAATCATTCTGTTAATATGTTTACCTAAGGCTGTCCTAGAAAACGGATTGAAATATGAACAAAGAGAGAACTTTTAAACATATTCTTAATGTTTTCATATTTCTGATGCCCTTAAATAGAGAATTTTGGGGAACAGATACATTCGAAAGAATATGATTTTTACTTTTATGGAGACACATTTTAGTCGATGTGCTGCAGTCAGTGTCCATTGAATATAATCTCTGCTCAGTGGATGCATTCTATATAATTTCTGACAAAACATTAAGAATTTATTTCTATATTTTATTTATATTATTTATTCTATTATTTATTTATTCTATTTATTTCTGAACAGTTTTACTCATTAAGCAGCCCTTCATTAGTAACTATGCACAGCAGCCCTCAGACGATTGTAATAAGAGAAAGTTATTTTGTCTGAATGCATCAAAATGTAGCTTCAAATGTTTGATTAATTATCAATTGTTTATTTACACTCAATCAACCACTCCATTTCAGTCCCAGTGCACTTTAAATACAGTGAAACTTTGTTACATTTTCTAAAATTTATAACCAGGAACAACCATCCAATCATTAAGAAAGACACAGATATTCCAAACTGATACCATATAATTAATTACACAACAGTAAGATAAGAGCAGTAAAAATAAGAAAATGTAATCTTAATAATAATTCAGTTTAATTGAATCCCTTTATTGGTCTCTTGGGGGCATTTAAAAGTTGCAGAGAGGGCAGCATAAAAACGGAATTTAAGAAAGAAACATTAAAGACCTATATAATCAACATAAATTCTAAATTCAAGTAACCAAATCCAGAAAAAAAAAAAACTATAAAGCAAAGATTAAAGATAAAATGATATTTAATTTATGATAAAATCTTCATAGGTTAAAAGAAATGGATAAATCATTCTAATGAAAACAGAGCCAACTGTGATGAAATGTTTTTTAAAAATTTAAACAGTCAATGAAAAAAACATAAGTCATAAATGCATCACTAGACCCCATTTGGCTTGATGCACTTTTTTAGATGTACTAGATAAAGTCTATGGGACATGAACCTTGATCTTTAAATAGGGATAATCTTGTAAACCTTCATTTTTTTCTTTGATTTAAAAAATATTACCCCGTCAAGAAAGCGTTGGTGCTTCACTTCTCATTAACTTTTCCATAAAGTAAGAAAAATATGATTGGCGGGTGAAACTTCCAACAAAACCCGGAGTCTGTATCGGATGAGAAAAGCCCAGCTGCTGCTGTCTTGCTATTAAAGCAACTTGCATAAAGCAGTGTAACTTAAAACTGATCTTCGAGAACTTTTTGAATTCCACCCTTGATCATTAAATATTTAGGTTTTTCAGCGGTGTTGGTGATTCCTAATGTTTTTAGCACAGACCCTTCCTGCCACAGTCAAATCAAAATGATGGCACCAACACCAGTGTGTGAAAATCCTCGAGTGTCCCCGCAGAGATAGCACTTCAAGTCCCAGTTAATAAAACATGTGTCGTTCAGAAGGTGCGACATTTCCAAAGCAAGACGGTTATGGAAAAAATGGACAAAGCAGAGTGCTGGAGTTATGGCAACATGGAGATAAAAGGATGCACTGCACCAGAAGGTTTGCTGAAGGAAACAGAAAAATACAAGTCAAGCTCATGCTTAAGTTATACTGTGGCCTAGTTTCCTCTGTTTAAAAGGTCACGTCAAGACGCTTACTATGCTTGGTTTATGTAAAAGAGTGAACTCTAAGAGGACAAACAAGTGAACTCCATCTGTCACCCTGGGCTCTATGACAGAAGAGTTTTTCTTCATCATTGCTCTCATTGGGGATTCAGGGTTGTGTAATGCTGCTACTGACTGAATGAATAAATAAGTCTGCTCTGCCTGTACCCAGGTCAGACATGGCTGTGTTGCAAAACGTTGGTTTATTTTCAATAATGTGTCAAACTTTAACTTTTCTCATTACTAATTATTCAATTCTAAGAACTTTTGTGCTACCTTTCTTTTAAATTTTAACCTAAAATGTTTACTTTTGTTTTAATGTTCTGTTTTTATTAACCTTTGAAATTATAAACATTATAAATAGATGCAGCAGAGCTCCTCTGTGTTCTTTGCTTTAGCCCTGATTTCTCAGAATAATTCAGATATTTGCCTCATTTTATTTGTATCATACATAATTTATTTTTCAACAGGTTTCTGTATCATGGTAAAGTTTTCTTGGCATACAAGCAACTCTAATGGCATTAAACAGAACTAGGAATACATGTATAAAAAAATGTATATGCTCTCAGTTGCAGTATAGCAGCAGTAGTCGAGTATTAGAAAACCAACAAATCTGAACATTATGACATCGAAGGTTCCGATTTGGTGTAAATAAATTAGGAATTGAAAAATGCACAGTAAAAACCATAGTGTTGAGTTCAATAAATTAAATGAGTCATTCTGTGTAATAAAAAGGAAAATGGTGGAGGACACTAAAGAATGACTCACTGACAGGGTATACATGCTGATTGAAATTCAGAATTCAGAAAATGTAAACCAAAATTGTTTACTTTGAGGTAATTGCTGATAAAAGAGGGGAAAACATAAGAAAAGGTGTAGAAAAAAAGAGGTATTCCAAAATGAGCTTAAACTGCTTTAAAATATAAACACAACCCAGAAAGATATACTTGTAGCTTATCTTCTTATGTCACACTAAGAAAAGCAAAATAATTAATATAAGTATATTTTAATCCTGGCCTGGAGTATCTGTCCTCTGGCCTCACAAAACAAATGCA